TAAGATAGAGCTGGAAACGTAATGGGGAGTTAAGCCATGCAGAAAGACCATTGTGCAAAAAGGGAGCCAGATCCCACCACTGCTGCCCCATGGGATAGGAGAAATCTAGAAGAGATTCTCTCCTGTGCTAAGTCTCTGTTGTAACAGACAAGATTTAGCTTGGGGGGAGATGGAGAACAGAAGTACAGCTATGGAGAAGAGACAGGGCCTCCTCCCACCCAGCTCACATCCTCTCTCATCATCTGCACTCTCTGTACAGCTGTTCTCCCAAACAACCAGCAGTTCTGAGGAGGAGCCAGGAGTCATTTTCCTATGGGCAGCTGATGCTGTTTACTAGTTTTAGCCTGTGGCTGATGGCTGCAGGGCAGTTTGATTGTGGCCTTTTTGTGGCCCTATATTATCTTCCTGAAGCCTATCATTAAGGCATAGAGGGAAGCCTGAACTAATTTCCATAGCACAGAACCCAGGACTGGATTCATGACTCCCAGCTCCTGCATAGTACTCAAGCTGTAACCCTGAATACCCACAAATTTTCTGCACTGAAGCCTTTCCTTGAAGCTAAAATGTGACCCAGAGCCCATAAGACAAGAAAGCGTTTCTCCAGTATTTGAATTTAAGGTGTGGAAATGGCAAGCACGAACACACGTGACAAATGCGTTACAATCCATGGACATTCCTGTGGCAATAGAGCTAAATGCACAGAAAATCCAAACGTATTTTAGACTGAATATGAAATGAAATTGTACTATGAGGTCAACAGGGTTGATGTGCCTGGTGCTAACTCAGAGATTTCTGCCTCAAATGGCATTTTGTGGTGCGGCAGTCCCTGCAGTCCCCTCTCAAGATTAAACTCTGACCGCCTTCATTGTGCACATGAAGCTCCTTGTAAGGAGTGAAAATAATGTGGGAGACTTCTGAAATATTTTGGAGAAGTGCTGAGCGTGGCACTCAACTAAAAGAGATAGGAGACAGTAATAGAAAACGTGCTTTCTCCTCCTCACGTGTTTTTTTTTTCTCTGTGACAGAGACATCTCCAAATTCTAGAACTAAACTGAGACAATAAAAAGCTCCTACACGTTCAGTTTCTTTCATAGAAAGAAAAGAGATGAGACCAAATTCTCCCCTTGCATGTAACTCTGCTGACTCGAACAAGGTTGGATGCATGGTGGCCATCAAGCCCATCTGCTCAGCAAAAGGAAAGGCTGGATAGCATCATGTAAGAGGAATTAAATTATATACCTTTATTTTTATTTTTTACTTGTGTGTTACTTTTCTGGATGATATTCTTACTATAAACCTCACCACAAGTGAAGGCTGAAGGGAAGGGCACCAGGGACCATGGAGGTTGAGTTGGGGATGAATGATCTTTTCCTTTTGAGTACACACAAGCACAAGCTGAGGGGGAAGGAAGTTTCCAGAAAACCATCACCAGATAAGTGAGCAATTCAAGCATCTATGCACAGACATCGTGAGACATGAGTCCTTTTGGGTACCCCATGGTCTCTGACACAACTGACTAGATTTAGCACGTGTGACACAGGACCTAGATTTAGCACGTGTGACACAGGACCTGTGGGAGTCCCATGCCATTGGAGCAACAGCTGCATTCCAATAGAACATTTCAGGCCCTAAAATGTGGCTAGACGTTTGTATCATTGAACAAAACCCAAAATCTCCTCTGCGAGGAAGACCCTACCATTCTGAAAGACTTGGAGAAACTGAGGCAGAAGAAGGCTTTGGGTTGCATTTAGAAAGTTCTCTAAATGAGGCCCCATGTATCTGAGATGACAGATAGGGAGGGATGGCACCTCACTGCTCATTGCAGTGGGAACCCTGATATGAGACACCAAGAGAAGATGACAGAGTGGGATCTTAGTTTTTCAAACACATTTCCTGAATTGATGTGCATAAACTATTGAGGTCCAGAGTGATTCCTCCAAAGCCATGGGGCCAGATGCAGGCTTAGCATGTATACTCATCAATCCCTTACTCCTAGACCCTTAGCAGGAGCTCCCTTTCCCCTCCACATGGGTAGAGTCAGACCTTGGACTAGAACCCTCAGATGGACATGAGATCATGAGCAGAATAGAGAGGCATATGTCATTGACTTCAATAGCAGCTGCTCAATCCCTTACACTATACAACCCCTTACTACTATTAGTAGATGACTAATTACATAATAAAACCTATTAAATATGCATAGGCTTTGTTAAAAATACTTTGAATGGGCTGGAAGTCCCCAAGCACTGAGCCTGACCCCAGCTTTAAAAGAAGGAGTACTTTCCAGCCCATCTCAGCTGATGATCAGATTGTAGCTTCACCTCTTTGACTCATGGTGGACTTCACATCATCAGACTGTACTCAGTCTGAAAGTTCATCATCTTGTATGAGCTCATCAGCTCAGGTCAGTGGAAAGACAGAGGTACATCCAGAGGGCAATTTACCAAACCCAGCTTCGATACCATCCTAGCCCATGATGAATCACTTTCTGCACTTGTTTGTGTCTTTCCATTGATCCTAGTAGAAAATTAGACAAATAGTTTAGAGTAGATGCTTGACTTTGACACAGACATAGAAATAGATCCCACTACTGCAGTCGAAAAGCTGTTTCTTCACCATTAAGAGGCATTTGCTCAGCAGACGTCTATTTTTTTCCCCATGCTTCCCAAAGAGCTCCACCCACTAGTGATGTTGAGCTTGATTCCAGTGCAAATGCAGGAACTGTGAATGTTAGCATGCTGAGGATGGCATGGGGTCAGAATCCAACTCCCATGCAAAGAAGCCATATCCTTTGACCCATTCCTTCACTGGCATGGTGTACAAGAAGGAATGTGAAAGCACCTTGCTTAAAGATATTAGGGTAAATTTGGTTGTGGGTGTGATCCTACTGAAGCCAATGGTTTGACACCGAACATCACCTGCAGCAATTTGCATTCTTACTGTTTGGATAGAAGTCTCTGGCAGGAGATGTCTAACATCTCTTGCTGAGACTGCTAGCACTGCATTATATTAAATAAATCAGACTTATCTTCCCTTATCCCATCTTTACAGTTCATCAGTGCCTTCCCAGAGTTTTCTTTCCTGACAGTTTGTGTCTGAATATTTGTTACTGTGGCAATGCCCCCCTGCAATGGCCTTCTTTTCTATTTGCTATAACGATCAGATTTTTCTTTTCCACTTGACTGTTCTATAAAAATCAGGCATCTATCCATCCATTGGTTCATCTTTTTCTCAATTTTTAGTCATCTGTTGCTTTCTACCAGATGATGTGTGGCCATCCACTGTATGCAGTGTTCACATGTACAGATCAGTTGTTTCTCTTTCCATTTCTTTCCTTCTCTCTTTTGATCTTTCCTTCCTTCTCTCCTGTATATCTCCTCTCATTTCATTGCAGCTATTTTGCAGTGCACCAATAGAAGTGCTTCCACCAATACACAGAACTTGCTTGTGTCCTTGGGCACAGCCCTGAGACATACAGTGATGCACAAACTGCACCAGCCTAGGAGTAGTCTCAGGAGATGCCTTGACTCAGAGACAACCCTTGGAGGCCTCATTTCTTCCTGTTTTCTGATTAAGCTCTGTTCATTCCCTATCTCTTCTGCATATTCTCTCAGTTCTGGGAATAAGCTGACATTCTGGGAGAGAAAAGCACTCTGGTTTCTCTACATAAACTTCCAGGGCTGAACTAGCCAACAGTCATAATTACATTGCTTTGCTGTCCATGAAAAGACTCCTGTGATTCACTGGGAGATGAATCACAACTCATTTCACTCCCTGGATTGATAGGAAAGAAAAAATGTCAATCCTTGGTCTTTTTCCAAAGATAGGAACTCAAGGTATGAGTAATACAAAGAGGACACTGGGCAAGCACATTAGAAGTTAAACAGACTACAACTCCATGTTTGATTCAGTACTCGTTTATGCCAGTAATGAACAGGAATAACTCTGGTGTTGTAAATACCAAGGCAATGGGCTGAGAGTTTGGCCCAATACCCACATGGTTTAAGGAAGCCTTGATGCTTGCATCAGAAGTGAGAGCTCTTTCTGTACCTAGCAATATGAAATTAAAAGTAGAGTAACATGTATAGAAGGGGAGTTGGAAGTGTTCAGCAGAGATGGGGCAACACTGCACAGTAGAGATTTGGCTCTGTGTCCAAACTCTGACCTGATTCGGAGTCTGGATTCCATACATCTTAATCTGTGCCACTTTTAGAGATGGGAATGGCTGTAGAAAGTAGGTGAGGAACCAAATTTGGGGAGAGGCTGAAACTGCTCCAGCTTTGGGGATGAAGTTTGGGTCACTGTCATGTAAATGCACAGGTGACAAATTGTCATTCAGAGTCAAATTCCTGACACATTTGTGGTCTAAGGGTTTTGCTAACTGCCCAGGGGAAGCCTGCATGAGGTGCGGAGAGTGGATGGACTAAGTGCACTTTCCACTCTTGGTGATGGCGTGGGAGAAATAAACATTTTCCCTTTCCTCCTCTTCTGGAGCAAGCCAGGATGCTGAGGAGCCAGATGTCCTCTTCCCAGCAGCAAGAGTTCATCCCAAGGAGAATAGCCCTGCACCATGTCCACAATGAAAACTCATTGGCTGAGCCTCGTACTGGGACACAGGTGGAACAACACGCCCCACCATCTCCTGTGGGACCATCTCCTTTTCAATGCACACACGGAGTCCTCTTCCCTTCACATACCAGGTTCTGAACTTTTCTGTACCAAGCACGTCACCTTGTGCACCAACAAGGCATTTGCAGGAAACCACTGGCAGTTCTCTCTCCCTTTCCTTCGCCTTCTCCCTCCCTCCCTCTGTGTAGGTGCCACTGCATCCTATGTCAAATTTGGCAGAAGCTACTATGCTAAAAAGTTCACGCAAAGAGCCTGCCCACTCTACAGCTCTATCATATATTTCTAGACTTCTCTGGTTCCAGGGCAAAAGTAAAGGAGAATTTCATTCCTTTTTTTTTTTTTACATCATTAACTTATCTGCTTTTATTTCTTTTGCTGTTGTTGTTGTTGCTCTTATGCACAGAGTCTGGCCGTTTGAGTATGTAGATAGATCTCAGAAAGCTTAGTGCTGGTGTCCAACACAGCCTTTCTCTGGCTGAGGGAAAAGGAGATATCTAGGAAGATGCAAGTCTTTCAAAGGACACTTAATCACACAAATCACTTCGGGTGGGCGAGAGGCAGAGCCAATCCATGCTTTTGCTGATGCTCTTCTTTCCAGCTCTGCGTTGCTGGCCAGCTAAAAAGCCACTGTCTCCTGCGGGATGCATCATTGCGGCGTAACTTGTGTGACCGCCAGATGAACCTCAGGATAGCCCAGAAGTCATTAGACCTATTCTATCCAACCAGTTTTTAGCCTTTAATTTTTTTTTTTTTTTTAAATTCTTTTATTATCAAAAAAGTAGACTTCTCTCTTGTCTCCAACCTCAAAGGAAGTAGGCTCGAATCTGTTTCTCCTCTTGGAGCCCTTCAAAGGGGCTTGCCTGCTTTACTTGCACGTGTGGACATCGTAGACTCGTATGCATTCCTGGCAGCGGACGTAGCAGCACCAGTGGAAGATACAGTGGCACTTCTCTTTCCGTTTCTCAGTCCTCGTGTTGTGCCCGCGGCCGCAGCACAAAAGGTCACAGCCGTCAATCCCATGGGAAGTGACGTTACAGATCCTGTCACGAGTCCCGAAGGAACCTGTCTCAGGGTTGGGCTCACAAAAGTTGGGTGAGTTCTCATAGTAAACCAGGTCCTTCTCAGTCGGAGCCTTGAAGAAGTTGTATTTGGGCCGCAGGGTCTCGACCCAACCACGGGATTCCCGGTGTTTTTCCACCACCATTTCCGAAGCGCTGTCGTATTTGTCCTTCAGGTAATCCCCGATGACCCTGAAGTCAGGCTGAGACCACCAGCAGGTCTTCACTTCACAGCTGCCCGAGAGGCCGTGACATTTGCACTTCAGATGCATGAGTTCTATAATAGACTGGAAAAGAGAAGACGAGAAAAAGCAAAGAAGAGGGAAGACATTAGCCTGCCATCGAAACACATACTGCATTTTCCAATTCAGCCAGCATTTAGAATCATAGAATCCTACATATCTAAAGCTGTAAGTGTTTCCATAGATACATTTGCACCTTGTGAACAAGAATCATCTTTTTCCCTCAGTCAGAGCGCTGCTAAGGTACTGAGGCAAACAAAACATTCACAACTTGTTATTTTCAGTAGCTATCTCAGATTCTCACCTCAATTTTAAACACCTATCGATTGCTTTCAGTACGGGTTGAAGTGATTTCGTATACATTAACATTTTCCTACCTGTGTTCATATATGAATATTTCAGTGTTGTCACCCAAGGACATGATTTGGACATGCAGAAAAGCAAAGAATGGAGAAACCTACTAAAACAATGCATTCAGGAGTGAAATATACTGCTATTCCATTTGGAAATCAAAGGAATGAGAAATGTCCTAAACATCCAGACCATAACTCCATTTATTACGTATGTTTTCATGTTTGCTTCATCAAACAAGCTTCCAGCTTTACTGGTGGCTGTGTTCAGAAACCTGAAAGCTAATGCATCATTTATTTTCAAGCAAATACGATTTTCTTAAGGCCATTTAGAAGAAAAAAAAAATAAAATAGGAGCTCAACTTCTGAATTTGAAAAGCTCACATTTCAACATAAAGCACTGTCCTAGAATATATGGGAGGGAGATTATTGATCATTGGTTGCCCTCACCACTCATAAAATTAGTCCAGAGGTTTCTATTGATGCTGCCCTCAGGTATTCTCAGCCTTATGCAACTCACTTGATAATCTGCACTTTCAGACTGATCAGCAAATTTCTGGGTACGTGAACAGACGAGTGGCAGCCTGAGTCCAAGAGATTTGCCATGATTCAGCACCTTGATGTTCACCAGGTGCTTTCCTGTGTTATTTACAGAGTATCATATGCCACAAAAGAGGTTGTAATTAGCAATGAGAGAGAACCACAAAACGTTTGGTCCGTGTAATCATGCTGAACTTAATCAAAGCTGCTGGCCTGGTGGTAGGGTTTGAACTCATATGGGAACTAATATGAAACACTGCCTATGGGCTCAAGCTTAGCTCAAACCACTTGAGCATGGAGGGTTGGAACAGCTACGCATGGGTGCTGGCATGGTGAGAATGACAAACACCATTCCATAAAGCAGAGGATTTCAGATGTTCAGAATGGTTGAAATCTGTAGAAGATCCAGAGGCAAATCAGTGCCAAAACTGACACTCGTAAGACCTCTCCAGACCTGAGATCATAGGGATTTTGGTCACAGCGCATCTTTTTCTGAGATTCTCACTTTAAATCCCTCCTTTTCAGCCTACCCAGCTTCCCCACAGCCCTCTGTATCTCATCACCTATCCCAGGAATGCACAGTGCCTTGGGTTACCTGGGATAATTTGGGTCAGGGCTTGAGGAAACCGCATTGTATTTGTCTTGCAGACAAGTTCTGTTTCAGGTGGTATTTCTTTATCTTGATAGATTGTACTCCATCTTTCAGACCAGCTGTCTTATGGTGTGAGGTGGAATAACTCCACAGAGGTTAGACAGCATCCACCTGAAGATCTCACACAAAATCCTAGCAAAACAGAGGCTTCCTAGCATTGCACAACTGTGCTGGCTTTGCTATGGCTCTGCACAGTCATACATCCTCCTAGGCATGTGTGAGGGCTTATCCGGAAGGAAAAAGACCACATTAACCTCTTTTGATTGCAGTGATGTATCTTTCTTCCACTGAGGGATGAACTAATTTGAGTTTACTACATGAGAAAGAAAAGCAGCTATCTCATAAGAGCAGTGGAACGATCCACATCAGCAAAAGCTTTGCTATTTAATTTCACAAATTGTTTCCCATAAATTATGTTCTTTGGGCATTCATGGACTGTTCTTGAGATGAAAAGAGAATGTCCTGTGATAGGGACTTTTCCACCTTACAAAAAAGATTCACTGTTTATGAGTCAGCCACGGTGATAAGGGCAAAACTTTATACTTTCAGTTCCCTCGTATATTTTTTTCAGTGGCAGAAGTGAAAACGCACTAGCTGGCTTTGGGGCATGGTCCATGTTAAATCTGAAGGCACCAGAGTCACATTCTCTCTCATTTTCCTTTAAATATTCCTTGGGAAATAGAACACTGTTGAGAAGAGGGGTGGTGGAAAATGCTCTCCTGCTTTTCTCGACCTTCAAGTCTACAGGGCAGGATGGGGATAGCAGGGGAAAAGGCTCCAAGCCATTGGGTTCCCTTCAAGAGCTCCTGCAGGATCACACTCCACAGACACCATCGACTCAGCTTTCTCCACCAGGATGGGCCCTTCTACACAACATGCCCGGAGTGGTACAAATGCTGGGGACTTCTGAGGCACAAGCTAAGATATAGATAGATTTTATAGGTCTGTAGTATGAAATAACGGGCCTGCAGTTGTACATTTGGCTACCTAAATCTCACTTTAGGCAGCTGAGTTCTTTTAAAGCAAGGCCTGGATGCATGTGTTCTGCGTGACTGCTGCACTCAGATTAGGATTCAGCTGCCAAAACACAAGGACATAATATCATTTCCGAGCTCCTTGAGTGTCCAAGGCATCAGATCACAGGTAGAAGAGGACCTCCAGAAGGCCCACAGTCTTTCCCATTACAAGTCCAAGGACAGACTGGATGCTTCAGAATATCTTCCTTGGGTTAAACTAAATTGCCTTTGCTTAACCAGCTGAATCCTGCCCGTAAACTTTGGTCCATCTCTCTTAACTTCAAATGTCTACAGTACAGACATCTCTGGCCATACAGCTCTCCTTCCTATACCCAAGTACAAATAGGGCATCACCCAACTGAGCTATTTCAAGATCCAAAACTTCATATTCCACCATGATCCACTTACTACGGAGTGATATGGACAATTAACTCCAAGTTAGACATTTACATCTGAATGGGTGAATTTACTTTAAGACCAGGCACAGGGATACATTGGTCACCTCCCAGCAAAGAACAATTTTGGGACATGTATCACCACTTCATGACATAAAGCAGCCCAGATTTATGTTTGATTACTCCTCTTAGTTCCCTCTGGAGATAAGAAATCAGTACAGGAGATCAAGAAAGGTAAAAACAAATGTCCTTACGGTCCTTCCAGCTTCATTGTTGTGCCTGTTCATGGCTGACCGAGCATCCGGTCTGTTCTCTCGGGCATCAGCGAATTCCCGAGACACCATGCTCCCAAACTCCACGTCCTCACTGCAGCCTCCCCATTTCCAGCCTTCCCCTGGAGAACCCTTATGACGAGTGTCACAGCCGCAGATGGTGGCCGAGCCTTCGGCACAGGACCTGGTCACTGCAAAAGCCACTCCGGCAGAAGCAATGGCATGGACGAAGGCGGATTCCCTGGTAGCTGTGAAAGAAAGAAATCGGTGAACATTGGCCTGCAAAAGGACCACGTGTGGCCATGATCAAGGCTGAACATCTTCGCTTGAGGGCATGGCAGAAAGCCACGAAACTCTCCTCTTATCTGTGGCGCAAAGACATTGCCTTACACTAGGCAACTGTAGAATCATAGATTGGCTTGTGTTGGAAAAAATCTTAAAGATCATTCAGTTCCCACTCCTTTGCCATAAGCAGGGTTGCCCCTCACCAGGTCAGGCTGCCCAGAGCCCCATCCAACCTGGCCTTGAGAACCTCCAGGGATGGGGCACTCACAGTTTCTCTGAGTAACCAGGCTGGATGCAAGCTCACTGAGGTCAGAAAACACAATTTAACTAAGTTAAAAAAGAGAGCTGTTGGAGAAAGTCCAGAGGAGAGCCACAAAGATGATCAGGGGACTGCAGCACTTCCTCTATGAAGACAGGCTGAGGGAGCTGGGCTTATTCAGCCTGGAGAAAAGAAGGCTGCGGGATGACCTCATTGCAGCCTGCAGTACCTCAAGGGAGCCTATAGACATGAGGGGAGTCAGCTCTTGGAAAGGGGAGATGACAGCAGGACAAGAGGAAATGGTTTGAAGTTGAGGGAGGGGAGATCTAGGTTGGATGTCAGGGGGAAGTTCTGTGCTATGTGAGTGGTGAGGTGCTGGAACAGCTGCCCAGAGAGGCTGTGGATGCCCCGTCCATCCCTGGAGGTGTTCAAGGCCAGGTTGGATGGGGCCCTGGGCAGCCTGGGCTGCTATGAAATGGGGAGGTTGGTGGCCCTGCATGTAGTCAGGGATTGGAGATTCATGATCCTTGAGGTCCCTTCCAACCCTGGCCATTCTGTGATTCTGTGTAAGTTCTTAGGATGGAGCTATGGCAAAACAAAAAGCAATCAAAAATGAAATATCTCAGGGCATATAAATTATATTACGTACTAATTTGCAGGCAGCGCATCACTTAGCCATGCACAGAGCCTCAGTGTTGACTTCTGATGAGTATAATTTGGGCCATAAAAATGCAAATCTACAGTTAACATCAGCCTTTGTATTTCATGGTGAGACCAACACTCAGTGTTCCTTCACTGGGACAGCTCCTGATGGCTGGAAGGTGGGTGAATATCAGGATGGACAGATGCTTCCTTATCTAACTAAGCATTAACCCCACCCTCCACTCTAAAGCCACCTTGGAGACGGTGCTCAGCATATGGCATCATCCAGGTTCCTAATGCTTTGCTCACTTTGCCTAACTAAATTCCTGGCCAAGGGGACTGGAATGAGCTCTACTTTTCTGTCCATTGCCTCATATGCTGGATGGGATCAGCCAAAAGTTTCCACTACCTCTGAGGAAACCTTCCTTCACAGCCTTTCATCATAGATAGAGATGGATGGCATAGGGAGGAGAAGGGCAGCTCAGCGTTGGCCTGGCTTTCCTGGTTTCCAGTGCTTTTTCCACAATATACTGAAAAGAAAACCTTTCAAACTGCTTTGAAAATAGGAATGTACCAAAGGATCGGCTTTATTTTCAGTTTTCATTTCATTCTGTTTCTTCACTCACTGGAAATGACCATGGAGTTCAGCACTACACCTCAGAAAACACCTCTGCAATGCGTTTTGGCTTCAGGAAAATAACATTTTATCATTAAAAAAAGATTGTTCTCAATCCCTTGAGGCAGTTTGAAGAAGACAATGGTTCTGCTAACCTGCGTCCTTTAACCTTGTATATTTTACCACACGAGCTCATCTCCTGCCTATAGACCAATTGACCAAGAACCTTTTGAATGGTTGAATGATCAGAATAGGACAGTACTGAAACATGACTGGACCCATGAAGGTAGGAGGTCAGGTTCCAGTTGATGCAGCTTCACCAACTTTCATCGAGCTTTGCTTCATCTCATGATATACCTCCACAAATCCTCCCTAATGTTCTCTGCACCACTTTTTGCTGATCTGAGCTTTCCCAGGGCATTTTGGCTTAATCTTTAATTTCTAGATGCTTCCAGGTTTTACAAACACAAGGAGAGTTTAATATGCCAAGCCAAAATACCAGTGTGTTCTCAGGGAGAAATCAAACCTGCACGCTAGCAGAGAAGTCTCGTCTGGACTGAAGGCTTAAGCAAGAACTTGTGCAGTGCTACTTTGCTTTGGGAAGACTACCAAACACAGCAATAGGCAAATCAAATAATGTGCATGAACTTACAAGCAGAAGGTATGAGCAATGTCCTGGAACACAACGTTGCTGCGCATCATGAGGTTAGTAAGTCCCTGGGAGCCAGAACCAAAGGAACACTCAGTTCCACAATGTGATTTTTAAAAATCCCTATTCAGCATCTCTCCACCCTGAAGGATCCCAAAGCTGGTGACCATGCAGCTCTTTGGTTGTGCAAAAGCTTGGCTTCAGAGCATGACCAGGTGAGTCCAGTTCTAACAGGACTGAGGACTCAGCACTTTGCTCTTGCCTAAGATCAAAAGGGATCCAGAAACTAAACCTCTGCCATGGGGAGGTTGATAAGGTGTCTCCAAGGAGATTGATGGCCAGTCCCATGGTCTGTGAAAGGCAAATGCTTCTCAGAGAATCCAGTCAGTTAAACTGCTAGGATGAGTTCCATTATCCTCTGGCAGAGAGTTGGAGGATACAGTGACCAGAGAATAGCTGAAACATCTCTGCTGCCTCCAGCTGCAGCCTAACTAATCCTAAATTTTTTCATATGATCAGAAAATCATAGAATCATTCAGGTTGGAAAAGACCACTATGATCCCCAAGTCCAACTTCAACCCATCCCACCATGCCCGCTGACTACATCCCTCAGTGCCACACGGTCCTTAAACACCTCCAGGGATGGTGACCCCACCACCTCCCTGGGCAGCCTGTGCCACTGCCTCACTGCTCTTTCTGAGAAGTTTTTCCAAATATCCAACCTGAACCTCCCTGGCACAACTTGAGGCCATCCCCTCTTGTCTTATCACTGTTACATGGGAGAAGAGGTTGGCAGAAGAGGATGTTTGCAAATGCCTTGGAGAATCCCCTGGGCTAGGACTGAAAAGAAAGCAGCTGCAGCCACAGTGTTTGTACAGAAGGCTTTGTCCTGAGTGTGTGTGAAAGGAGTAGCCCTGTGTTAGGAGGGTTAGGAGTCCACAGGTCCTGCATTCTACCTGGGCTTTGGAGGGATTCATGAGCTCAGAGAAGAGGTGTTTCCCTGCATGCAGCTGCAGAGCTCTTCAAAACCCAGAGAGCATCAGGCAATGCTGGCAGAGGGGCTGCAAAACTGCCTTTTGCAGGGCTTGGGCACAACTAAACAGGGGAGCACAGGAGCACAGCTTTTTCTGCAGGTACCCAGCTCTGCCTAAATCCCAGTCCATTACATCAACTGTGCACTGCTGCTGGCCCTTACTGAAAGCCTTCAGCTCCGGGAAGGTATTGATAGGATTTGCCTTAAGAAGCTCCAAATTATACTTGGCTCTTCTCTTCCCAGAAAAAAAGAAAAAAAAAAGAAAAGAAAAAAAAAGCCCACTGCCTTTTACAGCCTGTATATGCCGTAATCACTCCCCTGCTTTTGAAATGCAGCCACCCCTGGGGTGGAGTGCAGCCACCACTTAACAGCACACAACAGGAAGCAAATAGCATTGTATCTGATGGTAACTACCTGGGGAATGCAGGCAGGCAGAGCAAAGCTGAAATCTGGCCCCGGGCACTGAGGTTAGGAGTTTGTCTCTTGAGAAAGTTGCAGCCAATCTCTTTAATGACTGCATGAAATTAGGGCACTGGGTTTACTTCTCCTGCCCCTAACTTCAGGCAGCAAGTTCAATATTGACGCAGATGGAGGAGAGCCATCGCCTGAATCACGTCCTGCCACCTCCCCAGTTATGGGACTGAACTCCCATTACCGAGCAGACATGACCCTATGTGAGCACCAGAGAGCTCCCCAGGTTGTAGCTGGAGGCGGTGTGGCTGCAGGAATGGAGAAGGAGTGTATAGAGATACAGATAAGCAGAAGGAAAGCATGCACTTGTAATGGAAATGAGGGGTTATTAAGGTGCCATATAAAAATGCAAGAGACTTAGCAAAGATAACAGGAAAGTGCAGTATGTTGGTCAGGTCGCCTCATTCCTCTCTGGGTGGTTCTGGTAGCAGGAGACAAGCATCTCGTTAGGACTTGAAGAGGGCTTCTGGAAAGTCATCTGGCAAGGGAAGGTTGCTAGGGACTCATATCTCATGGGGATGCTGGCTTAAGAGCATCTTAAACACTTTGTTTTCAGTGCAGCACAAGGTCACCATAGCTCTGGCTTGTTTAATTCCTGCCTGCTCCTGCTCTCAAATTTCCCTGACTTGGGGGGGATCTAAGGTACCCTGGTACTGCCTTCAGTTCTGGGCACCTCACCACAAGAAAGACAGTGAGGATCTGGAACGTGTCCAGAGAAGGGTAATGGAGCTGTGAAGGGCCTGGAGCAGAAGTCTTGATGGGGAGCAGCTGAGGGAACTGGGATGGTTCAGCCTGGAGAAGAGGAGGCTCAGGGGAGACCCCATCATTCTCTACAACTGCCTGAAAGGAGCAAGACAAGGGTTGGCTTCTTCTCAATAATGTGGAAGGGCATGGCCTCAAGTTGCACCAGGGGAGGTTCAGATTGGATATTAGGAATAACTTCTCTGAAAGAGCAGTGATGTAGTGGCACAGGCTGCCCAGGGAGGTGGTGGGGTCACCATCCCTGGAGGTGTTTAAGGACTGTGGAGGTGTGGCACTGAGTGATGTGGTCAGTGGGCACGGTGGGATAGGTTGGGGTTGGACTTGGGGATCATAGTGGTCTTTTCCAACCTGACTGTCCAACCAATCCACTGTCATTTCTGGAAATAGTTTTCTAAAGAGCCCGTTCTGTGAGGCTGGGAGTCTGAATGGTGCATGTAGAACACCCCTGTGCTCAGCAGGAGCATCATTTCAGGATGCAGAACGATATGGTTGGGCAGTATTAGTATAAGAATTCAAAGTTCTGAAGATGAT